GGTGTGTGGAATCCCTCTCAGCTTCCCAGTCATGAGCCTGTCAAATGTGGTCTTATCGGCCCTCTTTTCGATTGTCACCTCAGTGGCTGTATGCTACCTGTTCATTTTCCCCTACCTGCTGGGGGTGAATACCTTCCCGAGCCCCGGGCGCCTGCTGCGCTTCTTGTTCTCTTCCTCCCGGAGTCCGGCCGGCGGCGCGTCGGACGGGTCCCCCGGGCGCGGAGAGGGCCCCGATGACCTGGAGCTTGGGGCCTGTGATCCCGGATCGCCGGCCGATCTGTCGCCTCTGCATTGCACGCTGGCGGGAGCCGGGGCCGGTGATGCGGGTGACCTGCTGATTGGTGGCCCAGCCGGCCTGCCTGGCGGTCTGGCCAGTGGCTGGTGGACGGCCACCGTGTCCTTCCCGCTGTGGTCGATCTTGTCCATCGGCGGGCTGATCCTCGGCCTGCTCTGGCTGTCGGTGACCGTCACTCGGTTCCTCATGCGACGCATCTACAGCAAGACGTCGCGCGCGCGCCAGGCTCGGGCCGCAGCGCACCAAGCTCCTGTTGGCTCGGATGGGCTCCTGTACCCGGTACGCTGGTGCTTGTGGCTCCCCCCCCCCCTCCCCTCCCTCTCGCGCGGTCTTATATCGCCCTGCCCCGCCCCGATTGGTCTTCCTGTTGGGGGGGGGGGGGGGGGCAAGGCGCCTCCTCGCGCCGGGGTTGCCTGTGCTCCCTGCACGTCTCCCTCGCACTTGCCCCACATGCATGCTGACATGGATATGGGACTGCTTGAACGCCCCGCCCTCCCCACTCGCGCACTCAGGGCGATGGCGGAGCCTATGCCGGAAATAAGGTCCCCCAGGAGCTGGCCACTTTCCTGAAGTCCATCCAAGTTCTCGGGTATGTAGATGATGCCATTGTCCTGGAGCTGGTCAAGCACACTTCCACCAAGAAGCTGCGCAAGGGGGATCTCCTTCTGCGAGCGGGCGAGCTGGATTCCGCCATGTTCGTGGTGACCTCCGGCCGCATCCACATCCACATTGTCGATGGCGGGACCGCAGACTCCAGTCCCGAGGATGGCCTGTCAGAGGTGTGTTTTCCGGGCCTTTCCTTGCCGGTGTCCGCACCCCGGACCATGCATCTGACCTGTGTCCCGTCTGATCGGGCCCAACTTCTCCTTCGCCCTCTCTCTGCCTCCTGTCTCTTGGGACCCTGCTTCCGACCTTCGTCCGCGCCCGATCTTCATCCATGCCGGGAAATAGGAAACCGTCATCAATGAGGTCGCCGCCGGAGGCAGCATCGTGTCGCTGTACAGTGTGTTGGCTGTTCTGACCGGACAATATCCCCCCACCTTGCCGGTGACTGCTGTGCGTCTTGAATTTTGCGCCTCCAAGGTCCCCCCCCCCCTGCTTTGGATCTTGGCCCCGGGGCAATCTAACACATCTCGGACTTGTGGAAATGCCAGATTGCCGAAGAGGACACCGAGGTATTGCGTCTGCCGCTGGAGGCGCTGGCCTCCTTGCGGGAGAACCACAAGCGCGCCGTGCGGCACATGTTGCAGGTGATTGTCACGCGTTTCCAACGGGTGACCGTTCTGACGGTGAACAATTACTTTGGCCTGTCCGGGGAGCTGGCCACGATCGAGCGCCGCATGTCGGAGCTGAGCGTCCGCATGAGCCAAGATGCGCGGGCCCTACTTGGGGCCGATCTATCCCGTGGCGCAATGCCCGACCTTGCATCAGGTACGTCTTCTTTTTGTTCATTCACTTTCCCCCAGTCCGGGCATCGGTCCCTTCTTGGGATCTCTTTTTCATTGACCTGCCTTCCTCCAACAAGCAGAGCCATCCAGTCCCGGACACACGCACGGGTCCAATGGCGGTGTCCATGGCGGCAGCGGCGGCAGCGGCAGCGGCAGCGGCAGCGGCAGCAGCAGGAGCAGCACCAGCACCAGCCTGTCATCACCTCCGGCCAGTGGGGATGCGCCCTCCTCGGCCACATCGGCCAGCGAGCTCCAGGCCGCGGCCACCGCCATTGCCGGGGTCCTGGGCCTCGAGGCGCTGGTTTCCCGATCTCCGCACTCTCCCCGGCTGTCGGTGACTGATGAGCTGGAGATTGTAACCGCACAGCCCGGGGACCGCCTCACGGCGGCCGGGTCCCTCCGCCTGGGCTTGTATTATGTGATCGAGGTGCGGAAGCTGCCGGTCGGCATGTGCCTTCCTGCATTTCTTGTGCATGTCAATGTCCTTTTTTTTTTTGTGGGCTAACTCAAATGGCCCTTTGACGCCCCTCGCCAAATCTCCCCGGCACCCTCCTTCCACAGGGGCATCTTCGAGTGTACATGTACGAGCCGAGCGGCGGCCGGCGGCGGCTTGTGAATACCGCCGGCCCGGGCCGCTTGGCCGGGTTCCTGCCGATCTTGACGAGTTTCCCCTCATTCCTGGAGATCGAGGCGGCCTCCGAGCCGGATGGCAGCGGACCCAACAAGGGCACCCTCAACTCGACGGCCTCCTCGGGCGCACACTCGGCCGAGGGCGCCACGAGTGCCTCTTCGCGGCCAGTCCGAGTGGCCTTCTTCTCACGCGAGAGGTACACACCGGCGCTGTCGCCCCGGACACGTTGCCCCCTTCCCGATGCCCCCATGTACTGACCCACTTCGATGGGCCACAGTTTCGAGGCCTTGATGGACATGCGCAATAGCAACGCCTGGACGGCCATTGCGCGGCACATTCTTCACGGGGTGACGCCGCTGGTTCGTCAAATTGACTTCGGCCTGGAGTGGCTGCACGTTGAGGCCGGGCAGGTCCTTTACCATGAGGGGGAGGATCCCTTTGCCCCGTGTGGTCTCGGAGGGTCCATCTCCGGCCTGGGGGAGCGTTCTCCGGAAGGGAGCTCTCCCGGATCATCAAGCCCAGGCCCTGGGCTTGGCGGGGACTTGCGCGTGCCCTTCAATGCCGGGGTGCTGTCTGCGGCGGCGGCCTTCTCCTCGGCGGCCTCCCTTCATCGGGCGCGCCATGGCGGGCCAATGACACGCGATGCTTCGCCAAGCCCCTCCGTCGCGTCGGAAAAGAGCCCCTCAGCCGCGAGTCCCGGTGGTGGCAGCACCGCCGGCGAGGCCGAGGGGCTGGGCTCCGACCGGTCCTTCTCGCGGGCACCCAATTCGCCGACCTCCTTCTCGGACAAGTCGCTCTTTAATTTGAGCTACTTCGCCTCGAGCCGCGAGTCACTTGGGCACACGGTTGGGAGTCCCTCCGGGGGGGACTTCCACCCCGGTGATCCGGCCGCCGGGCCAGCGGCATCCAGCGGCACTGGCACTGACTGTCGTGACCGGGGTGGAGTGTATGTCGTCCTGCATGGGCGTCTTCGGTCCCTCCAGCGTAATGCCATGGATGAGTTGATTGTGTGCGTCTCCACTCGATGGCGGTCTGTGTCTTATCCCAGCGGGACATGCGTTCTCTCTGTTTGTCTCCCTGTCTCTCCTCTCTGTCTCTGTTTGTTTCTATGTCTCTCCTCTCTCTCTCTGTTTGTTTCCATGTCTCTCCTCCCCCCCTTTCCCTCTCTCCATGTCCCTCCTCTCTCTGTTTGTCTCCATGTCCATCCCCCCCCCTCTCTCTCTCCCCCCCTCTCTCTCTCCCCTTCCCTCTCTGCTGACCGTTCACCATTTTACTTTCCTGTCCTCCTCTCTGCTTGTGTGTGTGTGTGTGACATGTAGCAATGCGGAGTTTGGCCAGGGTGACGCGGTCGGCGACATTGAGCTACTCACCGCCTCGGCCTACACCTCGACCGTGCATGCGGTTCGCGATTCGGAGCTGGCTCGAGTGCCGCGCAAACTCTTCGATGCTCTCATCCGGCATGTCCCCCAAGTGACGATCCACATTTCGCGGGTGATCGCCTCCAAGTCCAAGGAGGCCTGGCTGAACAGCCTCTCGGCGGATGCCACTCCAAAGGTCATTGCCTCGCGTTCGCGGATGAAGAATGTCAAAACCATTGCCGTGATCCCCTCCAACCGCGATGTCCCAATCGACCAGTTCATCGATCAGTTTTCGGCGGCCCTGTCCAACATCGGGGCAACTCTGGTCCTGGACAGCACCAGTGTCCTGAGGGCCCTCAAATCCAATGGTATGTTGAGAAGGAGGATTATCCCCCCCCCCCCCCCCACCCCCTCCTTTGTTTCTCCCTCGGCCCTTCGCAGCAACTTCCAGATGTGTCCTTTGTGCGGCTTCCGCCTTTTGGGTCTGCTGACAATTCGCCCCCCTCTGGCCTTTTGTTTTGGTTGTACTCCCTGGAAGCCTTCGAGCGTGTTGGGCACTTGCGTTTGCTTTCTTGGCTGGAAGAGCAGGAGGCCAAGCACACGACCATTCTCTTCAAGGTTGACCAATGGCAATCTCCCTGGATGACATTGAGCGCCCGGCAGGCAGACTTGATCCTGGTGGTTGCACAGGGCTCCAATGCACATGGGGACATGACCGACATCAATCCGGCCCCGGGGATCTTCGAGCGGGTGCTGGAAACGCGCCTGAAGCCGCGCGCTCGGCGAGAGTTGGTCCTGCTGCATCCCGATCGGTGTGTTTGCCTGGGCACCTGCTTCTTCTTTTCTCTTTGCCTCCCCCCCCCCCGCCCCCCCCTCCGGCGCGGCATCTTGGTGGCTGACCTGCGTTTCCCTCCCTCCCCCCCCCCCTCTCTCTCTCTCTCCCGTCCTTCGGTGACGAAAGTTCCATCCAATCCGGCAGCACGGCTCCCTTCCTGGATGCTCGGCCCTGGATCCAATTCCATCACCATGTACGCGCACATTGCAACAGCTTGACCTTTCGCCCGGCGCTTTGTCCTTCTTGCACCGGTCTCCCCTCTGCTCACTGGCTCCCTGCGCACCGCCAGATCCTTCTCTGCCCTCGAAAGGTCCTCTACTCGACAACTCGGCTGTCCTCGGTTTCCTCGACCGATGACGATCCCTCCTTCCCGATCGGCAGCCCGAAGATGTCGCCTCTGGCGCCGATCGCCCGTGCGGCCAAGAAGACCTTCTCCTCGCTCATGCACAAAACCATGTCCCCGCTGTCGCTGTCGACATCGGCGCTGTTGGCTGCGCAGGCGCGCGACTTTGCCCGGCTGGCCCGACATGTGACCGGTACATCGGTGGGGCTGTCGCTCGGGGGCGGCGGCGCGCGTGGCCTGGCGCATCTCGGCGTCCTCCGAGCGCTGGAGCGTGACAACATCCCGGTGGACTTCGTGTCCGGGTCTTCGATGGGCGCCTTCATCGGGAGCCTCTATGCTAGCAACCTGAATCTGGTCGAGTCGCTGGCCCTGACGCGGAAGTTCTGCTCCCGTATGGCCTCGGTCTGGTACCAGTTGGCCGACCTGACATACCCCTTTGCGAGCTGGTTCTCCGGACGACAGTGCGTTTCGCAGCTCCTCCCCCTCCCCCCCTCCCCCCCTGGCCCTTATTGCGGGGGCCTTTGCCCACAGCCCGTCCGGTCCGCACACCTGTGCCTTTCCTTGGCTGACTCCCTCCGTCGCTGCTGCGGCTCGGCATGGCCCGGTCTGATATGCAGGTTCAACCGCGCCATCCAAAAGGTCCTCGGTGAGAAGCATGAAATCGAGGATCTCTGGCTGCCCTACTTCTGTGTGGCCACCAACATCACCAAGTCCCGGATGGAAATCTGCCAGCGCGGGTCCGTTTGGCGGTTTGTCCGCGCGTCCATGAGTCTCTCGGGCTATATGCCGCCCATTTGCGACACCAATGGCGACATGCTGCTTGATGGTGGCTACCTGAACAACCTGCCGGCCGATGTGATGCTCAGTACGCCGCCAGCCTCCTTAACTCCGATGCCCCGATGGTCATGCGCCTCGCTTGCCGGCGACTTACCATTACCCGCTCGATGTGGCTCGCCCCTCGCTCCCTCCCCCTCGCTCCCCTGGTCATTAGATCAATTCGGCATCAAGCGTGTAATCGCCGTGGATGTCGGTGCCGATGACGATACCAAGCCCATGGATTACGGCGACTCGCTGAATGGCTGGTGGCCACTGCTGTACTGGCTGGTGGGCTGGGAGTACCGAGCTCCCTCGCTTGCAGACATCCAATCCAAGCTGGCCTATGTCCAATGCGTCACGCAATTGGAGCGCGTGAAGCGCATGCCCGGCTGCTTCTACCTTCGGCCACCGGTGACCACGTTCCGGACGCTGGACTTTGACAAGGTCCAGCTCATTGTCAAGGCCGGTCGCGACTAGTGCGTTTGCCTCGGCCGCATTGCCTACCCTTGCCCTTCCCTTTTCCCTTGGGTCAATCCCCCCCCCCCCCCCCCCCCCCCCCCCCCCCCCCCCCCCACCCCCCCAACCCATGATCCGGCACCCTCCCCCCCCCCTCTCCTGGCGGTGTGTGGAATCCC